TTATTTTTATTTTTATATGTTAATATTTCAAACATTTCTGTTTTGATCTCTGTTATAGTAATTATTCATGGACAGAATTCATAGATATTGATATATATCTGTGCATGTGACCCATATCCCTAGCTATAATTGATATATATCGATGGATATAATAACCCACATAAACAAAAGTTCTCTGGCTCATCAATGTTTTTTAAGAGTACGAATGGGACCTGAGACCGAAGAGTTTGAGCACTGCCCCTCTTTATACGAGACGCTTCCTACAGGGCACCACTCAGAATGATCATAACCAGTGACTAGAGAAGTGAATGAGCGTCCATCGAGCCTCTGTCATCTTGCTAGTGTTTGCGGTGTTTACCGGCACCTGACACAAGCGGTGCCTTAGGGTGCAATGAGACAACCATCGATGGACATTTAGATTATTTCATATCTTGGCTATTGTGAGTAGTGCTGCAATAAACATGGGAGTGCAGATATCTCTTTGATATACTGATTTTTTTTCTTTTAGATTTATACCCAGCAGCAGGATTGTTGGATCATTTGGTAGATCTATTTTTAGTTTTTAAGGAACCTCCATACTGTTTTCTATAATGGCTGTACTAATTTATATTCCCACCAACAGTGTTCTAGTGTCCCCCTTTCTCTGCAGCCTTGTCAGCACCTGTTCTTCTTTTTTTTCTTTTTTAACAATATCCATTCTAACTGGGGTAAGAATATGGTTTTGATTTGCATTGATGTTGAGCCTTTTTTCACATACCTGTTGGCCATTTGTATGTTTTCTTTTGAGAAAAGTCTATTCATGTCTTGTGCCCACTTTTTAATGAGTTTATTTGTTTATCGCTGTTGTTTGAGTTTTTTTATATATTCTGGATATTAGTTCCTTGTTGCATGAATAATTTGCAAATATGTTTTCCTATTCAACAGGTTATCTCTTCATTTTATTGGTTGTTTCCTTTGCTATGCACAAGCTTTTTAGTTTTAATATAGTGTCCTTTGTCTAGTTTCGGTTTTGTTGCCTGTGCTTTTGAAGTCTTAGCCATAAAACCCTTTGTCTAGACCAATGTCCTGAAGTGTTTCCCCTAATTTTTTTCTAATAGTTTTATAGTTTCTTGTCTCATGTTTAATTCTAATCCATTTTGAGTTGATTTTTGCATATGATGAGAGATAGGGGTCTAGTTTCATTCTTCTGCATATGGATACCAAGTTTACTCAGCACCCTTTATTGAAGAAGGGGTCCTTTCCCCAAAATATGTTCTTTGTGCCTTTGTCAAAAATCAGTTGGCTGTGTAGATGTGGACTGATTTCTGAGTTCTCTGTTCTGTTTCATTGGTCTATATGTCTGTTTATATGCCAATGACATGCTGTTTTGGTTACCATAGTTCTATAGTTTATTTTGAAGTCAGGTAATGTGATGCCTCCAGCTTTGTTCTTTTTGCTCAGGATTGCTCTGGCTATTCCGGCTCTTTTTTGGTTTCATATGAATTTTAAAATTTCTTTTTTTCCATTTCTTTGAAAAATGACATTGATACAATATTTTGATAAGGATTGCATTGAAGCTGTAGATTGCTTTGGACAGTATGGTCATTTTAACAATATTAATTCTTCTAGACTGATCAATTTTAAAGGTAATTTTCCAGATGTGGAATAACTGGTTAAAATTGCAAACATTTTAATTTTTATTTGTATATATTTCCAAATTGCCTATCAAGGAAGTTCTAGCAACTTTCGCTCCTGGTGATGGTGAATTAACATGACTATTTCACCATATTCTTGCTAACGCTGGGCCTTGATCACTTTTTAACCTTTTTCTATTTGACAAATGATAAATGAGTTGTTGCATTGTTGTTTTAATTTATGTTTTCACTATTGAAAATGAAACTATTTTCATATTTATTGGTCATGTTCTTGATCATTTAAGAAAGTAAAGCTTTTTTTTTATTGATATGTAGGAAGGAATTCTGTTAATTAATCAGAGGATTTAAGTTTTGCTTTATATTTTATAAATATTCTCCTAGTTTTTCGTTGACTTTTAATTTTATGAATTTTTGACATTGTATACATTTGCAAATTGTATGTACTTAAATCTAGTAATTGTTGACTTCCTCTTATATCATGCTTAGAGAGACTGAAGTATACCTAAATTTTGTTTTGTTTCGTTTTTTTAGAGACAGGATCTCACTGTTACCCAGGCTGAAATACAGTGGCACGATCATAGATCACTTCAGCCCTGAAATCCTGGGCTCAAGCCATCCTCCTGCCTCAACCTTCTGGGTTGCTGGGTGGAGTCTTTCTTAAAATAAATTTTTTCCCCAGGGATGTGTATGCCTGTGTGTTTTTTGAGTCTTTGAATGACCAAGAATAAAGTTCTACAGTTCTTATGTGAGAACAATAGCTGGTATAGAGACCTTTGACACACAGCTTTTCCTTCTCAAAATTCTTGTAGAGGCTTTTCTGCTACTTTCTGAAATGTGTTGAGAGAGAAGTCTGATGGCAGGCGAGTTTCCCTTCCTAGTATGTACTGTGGTTTTGGTCTGTTGGGCAAACCAAACATCTTGATTCCAAGGTTTTTCTTTATCCTTGGAATGAAAAAGAGAAATCAGGACATGATAGAAGAGTCTATTTTCTACTTTGGCCTGGAACGCAGTGGGTCTTTTAGATTGAGGACAGAAATTTCCCCAACCTAAGACAATTATCTTTTATTACATATTTGGCCACACTTCTTCTCTGCCCGATGTCTTTTCTTTCCCTGGGTTTTGTGTTTGTTTGATCTCTAGGACCTATCCTGTATGCCTCCCGTCTCTTTACTCTTAATTTTCACATTGTGTCTTTTCCCTGAGTCCTGGAATGCCCCTGGCTGGCCAGCTGCCTTGCTCCTCCTGTCTTTGGCACTGTCCAATTTTTAAGTCAGTATTGCCGTTGGATTTTTATCTTGGATGATTATTGTTTTACCTCTAGACAGTCTTCCCTGCTGTCAGATTACTCCTTTTTCCCGGGTACAGTCTTCTCTCAATTATTGTTGAGAACCTGAATTTAATATTTCACACGATGTCACTCTCTTTCCTCCAGCAAGAGTTTTTCAAAAGAGTATTCTGTTTTTGAACTCTTGAGCAGTCTTAGATATACCCAGATGTGTTTCCCTACTTGCTAATCCTTACAAAGGGAGGTCTACATTTGCCCAGTTTTGGTGACTTGGGAGAAGTTCCATCACATTGTTTAGGTGTGTGTTTAATTTCCTTAATCTGGGAAGAAGAGGCCAAGGAGATTTATAATTTCTGTAGTCTGATTTCTCTGGATCAGTTTCAGTTTTCTGGAAGAGGGAAGAGGGATCCACACCTACAGGTGGCCGTATAACAAGGCCTACCCATGCGCCCAAATCCCCTTTTTAGGTGGGCGGGGTTTCACCCCCTTCTCTAACGGACAGGGTGGCTCTAGTGATGAGCCTGTTGTGGCAATGCCCCCACATTCCCGTTCACATGGTTTGAGCCGAGTGCCATCCAGAAGTGACAGCCACGAGCTGCTGTTCTCTGTGCACCGTGTCAGACACAGGCGGGGATTCACGGGCGTGCAGCCAGGGAGTCCCCTGGGGTCCCTTGCTCAGAAGGGCCCCCACACTTGGTTTAATGCTCTGCTGCCCTCCCTTGAACTTCTTAAGAATCTTATATTTGAATCTGTATGTGAGCAAAGTCCCATGGGACAACTGAGCACATGGGACAGAGAGACTGGAGTCGGGTTCCTGCTGGATCCTGCCTCCTGCCGCCTCCCAGCAACGGGTTCTGGTCACTCCCTCCCCCAGCTCACCCCTACCCCCTTCCTCATTTTCTCCTGCAACTGCCATCCCTCCAACAAGGTCCCGACTAGGTAGTGTCACCAGGAAAGGCTTGTGTTTTGATATCACCTTCTGTCCCTTTTGGGAATCTGGGCACAGGCAAGGGAAGGACTGGGGTTGGGCACAGCGGCAGCTCTCCCTGCCTCCAGCTGGCAGTGCAGGCATCTGGTGGGCAGGGGAGGCGAGCTCCACCCCACATCCAAGTACTCAGCATGTCTCAGCACAGAGGTTGGAAGAGTCTTTGGGGGGGTCACCTGACTGCTGTGGGCTGGGGAAGTGGGCCCTGGGAAGGGGAGATGCCAGACTGGGCGGGGGACCCACGGAGCACTGGCAGGAAGAGACCCCAGCAGGCCCCAGGCCCGAGTGTCTCGGGTGGGGGGAGCCTAGTGCTACAAGGGTCTGCACCTGCCCTGGCACCCCCTTTGCCACACGGCTTCCCAGGTGTTTGAACGATTCAAGAGGAAGACAATGGCGTCCCCATAATGTGGCAGGTGTGTGTTCAGGTGAGGAACTGGGAATACACAGAGCTGCCATTTGGTGCCTACCGCATATTTATAAGCCATTCATCTGAGTAACACGTGTGGATCTCTCCTAGGGTGTCTGACACCTGATACAGAGTTAGTAATGTTGATTTCCTTCCCCTTGCCTTGCTTTTTCTGAGTCTGTCATTGTTACAATTCTGCCTTGTGGCTCCCTTCATTTTTTTCATTTAAAAATCCTCAGGACAGTCCCACTGCTCTTTAGGAGTGAACAGCAGGCTTGTCTGCCCCTGATGGCCTTCCATGGGACACAGAAGGGGCCAGCGGGCTGAGCACTCTGTTCTGCCAGGTCCTTCTCACTTGCTCAGGTAAGAAACAACCTGGAGAGGCCCAGCTCGGCTCCCCCTGGCCTCCGTGGGGAACCCAGCGCCACCGTGTCCTCACTTCACAGTCTCCACCTTCTTCTTCACTCCCACCCGTCATCTTAGGGGTCCTAGCTGAAGTTGGGAACAGAAGGAACCCCGTGCCTCTGTTTGCCTAGGACTGAAACGGCTGCGGATATGTCTTTCAATGGCAGATTTCGCTGAGGAGGGAGATTTGCACCTGTTTGGAGCTGGCACCGCATTTAGAGAGAGCAAGGGGAAGCAGAAACAAAGGCCAGCGCATCTGGAATGATTACTGCCAAAATTACTTACCAAAGACATCTGCGAAGCTGTGATCCATTCCGGAGAAATGCGAAAATGAGCCCCTGCCGAGTCTCCCAGCAAAATGATCCCCCTGGGCTGTGAACCTAGGCAGCACAATTTATTTACATTATTTATGCATTCGGGTGGCTTGGAGCCTCCAGACTGAGCAGTGGTGAGAGCAGATACCCTGGTGTGTATTCCAGGCACAGAGCATCGTAACAGTGATGCATGGCCACTTTTGGCATGTTGGAGAGTGAGGGGCATAGCATTTAGAAGCAGAAAGAGATTTCTAGGCCATTGGAAGTGCTAGCTAAGATGTACAGATGCAGGTGTACTTCCCAGCTCAGCATAAAACAAACTGCCATATAACATCCTGAGTGCATGATGGATGAATAAATGAATCAAGGCTTTATCTGAACTCAGAAATATGCTCTAAATTTTGGTTCTGGAAATTGCATTCTTGAAAACACACCGGTTTCTATTACAATTCACTTCAAGAGTTAATGATCCTATGGAGCAATTTTGATTTTTCAAAGATGGTATTTTTTTTTTTTAAGCCCTTAAAATCCACATACTCAAAGGCACTGGATGGATGATTCCGGCTGATTAATGGAGAGATGGAGATAGAACGATCTCCGTGCAGCCCTGTATGTTGGGAAGTTCAGAATCACTTAATCTGATTCTGAGGCCCATACACACAAATCACTCTCCTGTGGACACACTCTTCCCAATCCCTTAGGATCCTGGAAGAATCAGTTGGTGCCTCTCAGAGCAAGAGATGCAGCCTCCTTTCTTCAACCTCCAAACCCCTCAAGTCATGCAGCAGGATCACCCAGTCTCACTGAAGTGTCTCCCTAGCCTGGGCACCCACAGAAGCTACCACTTGGCCACACAATGGGAACTGAGAAGGCCCAGGACATGCTAGAGAGCACAGGGGGAGAGTGCATTGTGAGGAATCCAAGAGGCTTCCCACAGTGACCCCAGACCCTTGCACCAGGGTTCCCCTAGATCTGCATTTACACACTCATTAGTTTGTTTGTTCATTCATTATTTCATTTATCCAACAAATATTTCTAAACTGCATAGATATGTAATGGGCCTTTAAATTTTCCATCCACCTTCCTGACCCTCTGAGAGCTTAAAGACAATTAGACTTTAAATTGATCCAAAGACTGCTTGTGTTTTGCCCATGAGAACTCAGAGCCAAGTGTAGCCCTTGGTCCACAATTGGAATATTTGTTCAGGAAATACCTGTTGCATGCATGAGTGAGTGAGATGCTTCTGAAAGGAGGGAGAAAAGCATTGCCTAAACTTAAACAGTGATGTTACCGTGGGGTCAGCATCACGCAACTTGTTTTCAGTAATGGGTGGGTGGCGAGGTTTCTCCTGATGGGGCTGGTGGCACAGGTGTCTGTGGCATTTGGGCATTTAGAGCACAGAGCTTTGGGAGGCCCCCAAAACCCAAAACCCGGCCCGTTCCCCCAAAACAATCAAAAAAGCAACCTTAACCCAAGGGAAAAAAGGAACTGGCCCAACAAGACAAAGCCAAGGGGCCGAACAGGGAAGGGAAGGAAAAAGAAAAGGGAAAAAATAAAAAATTCAAGTGGCAACCCCAACTAATTTCCTAAAATTGGAAAAAGGCCTGGATTTCTGTTACTCTGTTATCTATCCTACAGCCTTTTCTAACATTATCATTGAAATCCTCAAGTAGTCAATTAGACACATTAAGTTTTGCTTTTTCTAGATTCTGCCTCCTTTCCCAAAGCTTTTTAATGTCTTTTTCTGATCTGTCATGAAAATAGATGTGAATTGGTCAACATAAAGTAAGTTATAACATCAGACACTTCCTGACTTTGGTGGTCTGTTCACTCAATTTGACTCTGATTAGAAAAGAATATTCTATTGGAATAGACTAGCACATTGTAATAGCACACTGACTTGCACAGCTCATACCTTCACAGAATTTCTTCTCATATGGAATTCCATCTTTTGGATCAACACCCTTTAAAAAGAGAAATGATGAGATTAGCAGTTTGGTTTTAAATTTATGAGACATATACACTAAATCCTCCCTAAATGGCTTTAAAAGCACAAAGGCAAACGAGTAGATAAAACACTTTAAAGCCTCTTGAGCCCCTAATCAACACAGCAGCGCTCCACGTCTAGTGAGCTGGGCTCCTGGGGACAGGAGTCAGGAGAGACCCACACTGGGCTATCTCACTCAGAGGGACGCAGGGCAGGGACCTGGTAGAGGTGCCTAGACCGGGAGTCCCATTCCTTGGAGCATCAAGGGAGTGCTGAGTGACTGGGATACAAGGTCAAGGTGGGTTCTGCAGTCTGAGCTTGAGACCTAAGTGTCCTGACATCTCTAAGCACCTAAGGATGGATGTTTCTAGAGCTGCAATTCTCAACCGGGGCAGTTTTGTACCTACCCTCCCTGGGGCCATTGGCAATGTCTGGAGAGACACTGTTGGTTGTCGTAGTAGGGTGGGTGTGCTACTGGAATCTAATGAGTAGAGCCAGGGATATTGCTAAGTATCCTGCAGTTTACAGGAAAGCACCACCAACAAAGGATTATCTGACCCAAACATCAATGGTGCTGAGATTAAGAAACCTGGGAGTGAGGTTGGGCTTGTGAGTGCAACTGAGTTACCATGGCTGGGATTTCCTAACACCTAAAGTTACAGCTCCCCTTTAGTGGAGTGACCCTTCCTCAGAAGGAATATTCCTAGTGTCCCAAGATGAAAGTGCTTGGCGGTCAGAGATGTGTTGGAAACTGTGCTCGCTCTCCCGGGCTTGAGTGACAGCAAGCTCCCCACTGAATGGATGCACACTTGGATGCACATCGAAACATCTAAGAACCTGCTAGCATCATTCTCAACACTGGTGTCCCATGGACACAGCCTGGACAATGTTGGACTTGATGGTCCTAAAACTCCCTCTGAGTTTGTGACACTGTGATTCTGTGAGTCATTTTTCCTCCATGGGAAGGGATGGGTATGAAGGTGATGTGTCTTCCTCCATGACCATGATGAGCTCTGAGTCTCCTCCCTGGGCTCATGGTGGATTTCCTCTGGTCTCGCATAGTCTCTTGCTTGTCCCCACCCCCAACCCCATGTGGGTGACACTCCATGTCAGAGGCAAGGTGGGACCATGGAATGAAGACAGACCCTGATCATCCCCTTTGTTCTCCGACATGACAACTAAGCTTGGGTTTATCAAGACAAGAGCTGCCTTGGGGGTCTTGGCACCGTAAGATCTAGGGTAGATGTCTTCTCCCCCATGGACAGGGAGAGTGACTGAGGGGTAGGGTGGGTGGGGCAGGCTGGGGCACAGTCATCAGTCATGCTTTCAATATCCCAGAGGCCATGGGACCAGAATGTATACAGTAGGTGATTGCTGATACAAGCCTAGACCATCAGTGTCCTGGAAAGAGGAAAATATTTACGAAAACATTCTCCTCTTCATCCAAGCAGATAAATGAGGCAACTAGTCAGAGGAAATGTACCTTGAAGCCAGGAAATCTTAAGCTTCGGGGGCCCTCATTTGTACTGCCCTTGCCCATGTGAGTACTGGGAGTGACTGGGAGATATAGAGAGTTCTGGAGGGAGGGGTGGGGGAGGAAAAAGCCAGGCTTCGATTAGGATTTGTTTTTCCATGAACCCTGCTGGTAAATCAGAAAAAAAGATCTCCAAAAAAGGGACCTGAATTTCTGAGGCTCCAGAAAGTTTTGAAGATTTCTTTTATTGCTCTAAATAATTATTTACTCTGATACTTGATTTTGTATTTGCAAGTTGGTATTCTTATTTTTCACGAGGAACCCTCAAATCATGTAAGCTTAGGTAGGACCCCACACGCGTGGGTGTGCCGCTGCTGTCCACAGATGTGCATTTGGACGGCTTTCCTCCCTCCTTCTCTCTTCTCTGTCTGGAAGCTGCAAATCCATTATTCATGGGGAACTGGGACGCAGAGCGCTAGCAGCCTCAAGGTGTGGGTAGCGGGGTAGATACAGGGTGAGTTCTGCTCTGCCTGACAATGCTTATGAAATACAAAAAAAAAAAATGGCTGCAACAAAATAAGAGCAGCATGTGGTTCACTCCAATAGCTGTGTGGGTTGTGGTAAAACTTTGCTAACACTATTCTTCATTTAATTTCACACTGTTCAAAACAGAATAAAGGGATTAGATGTGGGTGACCTTAAGTGAGGCTTAAAGGGGCCGTCACTGAGAAAGCCTCAACTCTCCCTGGCGCTCTTCCCCTGTGCTCAGAATTCTATACCCATCTTCTGAGCAGCAGAAAACGAGTTGCTTCCGGCTGTCACTGCCTTCCCGGGGTCTGACTAACGCAAACAGGTGATAGGCTTTTTAGGGGAGGGTGGGAAAAAAGGGAATGGGGTTAACTTTGAATGTGGGTGCTCACCCAAATGCCATTACAGTTTGAGTCCTGATGTGCATCCCAGTTGTCGGGCCTGAGAAGAAAAAGATCAGCGTTGGTCTTGGGTACATACGTGTCCCTCAGTGAATGTCAGTTTCACGAGTGAATGAATGGCCGGGGGAGTGCTACAAGCAATGCCATGGAGAGAAAACAGCATTCCTCATGGAAGAGTGCCATGCACCACTGTGTGCTGTGACACCCAGAAGCCTCGTTCCACCTCTTTGCATTCATCTTGGTTTTGTATGTTCGCTGGGAGCTCTGGATCAAATCCCTTTTCATGATTGCCTATATTCATGGAGTATATTGTTGTAGAATGATGCTGATGAACATAATTAACAAATCTGCACCCCATTGTGCCACTAAATGCCCAAATATCTGGTTAATTTAATGCTTTGGCACTGTAGTCACAGCTAAGGTGCGGGCTGGCATATCCATTTCTGAAGTCAGAGATGTGACTGACTGAGCATCAGCCCAGGGATAAAGCGTGGTGTGCTCTCCATCCATCAGAGCCCTCTCCCTACTCCTGGGAGCAGAAGGCCACTATTTCTGGGCCTGATCCTAATGTAGAACTTACACAGAAGGCTGGACACAATAATCTATAATCTATTGTGCTAATAGATTGTGCTAATATTGTGCTAATCTATTGTGCTAATAATCGAATAGATCTATGATCTAACAGATCTATGTACACAATAATCTATTCACTCTCTTGTTTCTCCCCTTCAACTATGAGCTGCAAGAGAGGAGGCATATCTTTGTTTTGTTTACCACCCAGCATGATGCAAAGTGCTTGGCAAATGGTAGGTTCATTTCCTGGACAAATGAATGAATAAATGCACGAATGAATGCTCTTTTTCTTTCTTTCTTTCTTTTTTTTATTGCTAAAGCTTTAGTTCAATTGGAACATGGAGGTCCTGTCTCTGTATAAGTGGGAATGCTCTAGGCTGGGGGAAGGAATTATGCCTCCTGCCCCCTTTCTTGCAGGTAATTTTCAAAATCAGTGGCCAGTGGAAATAGTTACCTTCTGCCTGGGTACACTGACTTGTTGTGGTCGTTACAGTCTCGCCCTCGCCAGTGATAGCCCCGCAGCGTCTGAAATTGAAGAGCATGCACAAGAGGTAGTCAGTGTGTTTGGATGTTATCCATGAGGAAGGTTAGTCAGAGCTGTCTGGGTGGTATTGACATCTGCAGGTTTTAATTCAAATTCAGTCTAGGAATACGAATGCACACCAAGAAAATTAAGATTAGTATGATAAGACACGCTGTGGGAGGTGAAATGTAGTATAACACCAGGGCCAGTGACAGGTGGCAGAGTGTGTATGCATATAGGAATGTGTGTGTGTGTGTACATTGAGTGAGTGTCTGTATGTGTGTGTAATGTTGTATGTGTGCCTATACGTGCGTGTGCATGTGTATGTGTTTATGTATATGCATGTTGCAGGTGTGCATGTGTGTACACATATGTCTGTGTGATATGTTGATTCATGTACTTGTGTCTGTGTGTACCTCCAGAAACAGCAGAATCATCCAACTTCCTGAAATCCCTGTCAACCATCATTCTTCTCAGACTGTAAGACAATTGGCTTATTTGGCCAAATGATTATAATCATTTTATTGAATAATTAAAAAATCTCTACCTCTAGCCAAACTGTTTATTATGTGGATTTATATATTTGATCTGACTGATTTGGAAAAAAATCAAAAGCCACAATAATGTCAAACAATGTTTTTACTTCCTCCATTCCCAAATAGAATGTTTGAGATTTCCCAAACTTTTGGGAGTTTATGACATGTTACTTGCTTGTTGGCTTTCATAGAGAACACTCTGGCATTTTAACTGCTCTAAATCAAACACACACAAGCACATACACACACACATTTTAAAAAAGTAATTTAAGGATTTCCAAAATAATTCATAACACCTTTCAAGACAACCTTAGTTCGCATAGAGAATCCCAGCTGAGAATTGAAACATATACAGTCTGGGCCTAAGATTTACTTTGATGGCCCATGTATTATCATGATGCCAAAAAGTCCTTAAAAATCGTGAAATAATGTGTTGTTCATCAAATCTATAATACATTCAAATGAAATTCAGTCTTGTCTTATTAAAGGAAAGAAATTTGTAGGAAGCAATGAAATATTTAGTGAACATCTAATCATTCTTAATAATACTTACTGGAAAGACGCTGTATTTGTCTGAATCTACATCTTTGAATGGCACAGAATTTTGAAAAGCTCTAGAAAAAAGAAAACAAAACATCTGGTGAGCTAAGAAAAAAAAAGCGTGTTTGTGAAAACAAACAGAGACATTTTCAGATACAGCTGTGTTGAGTTTTGCGACAGAGGGCCATCCTAGAAATAGAATTAAGGGTCTGCAGGGTACAAGAGAGAGCCAGCCAAATCGTGCCAATCTCTGCTGTCCACACAACAGGACAGTTTTCTCTCTGATATTTAACTTGGCCCATATGGGGAAGGGAAATAATTGAATTGAAATTTTAGGAGATAGGGGATATTGTTGCTATTGAGATCCCTAGGAAGTAGGAGACTGTATTTTGAGTTCAGTCAATGAACTCAGCACTACAAATTGAATTCCTGCCATTTTACACATTCTGTTATGGAAAGCTTAAAATTTTACTCTTTTTAACCACTTACTCTGAGAATCTTGAGGCATTTATTATAGTTGTCATTTGCTGGCAACTTTCATTCCCATTCATGAGCCTAGGAAACCAAGGGCCCGGATGTGATGACCAAATACATTCACACGGAAGCCACGGACACCCACAGGGGTGCATTTCCCCTGTGCCCCCACGACCAGACTGTTCCCAGCCTCTGTGGCAAATGCTGATTTTGGTTTAGAAACATCCCTTGTGAGGTAGCAGAATAATACAGTCATATGACAGGGTAAGGCCCTCCTGGGGCCTAGAATTTAGAGGGAGTAACATGACGCTTTATAGCTGTGGTCCCCAACCCCAAGCTGTGGACTGGTACCGATCTGTGGCCTGTTAGAAACCCGGCCGCAGCCACTCCTCATCTCTAGTATCACCACCCGAGCTCCACCTCTCCCCCCTCCTGCCTGTGGAAAAACTGTCCGTCATGAAACCATTCCCTGGTGCCAAAAAGGCCGGAGACTGCTGCTTTATAGGATTTACTAAATGATCTTTTGAGTCATCAGGGCATCTCAGCAGTTCTGAGAACCTCAGACACCCTGGTGGTGTTGAGCCCATCTTTGGCACTCTGGGGCGGTGGACCCACCAGAAGCCCGGGTTGCAGGCCTCTCTGGGGAAGCACTAAAGGGCACTGTGCTGGTTATATATGTAGCGCGTATCCTGCTCTGCAATTCTGGGGCTGGGAATTTTGCAAAGCACACCTCCCAGGTTCCCTAGCCAGCTAGAGCTGGCACTGGTGGGAAGACAGGGCAGGGCGAGGAGAGGAGAAGTTGTTCTCTCTCTCTCTCTGGATGTTCCCTTCAGTGGCACCAGCTGTAGCCACAGCTGGCCCTCCTGGGAGTACCAGCTCGTGTGGCTGCTCTTTTTCACCCCCAGCCCCCCAGCACAGCTAGGCGGCTTCTCGTTCCCCTTTTGACTCTTTCAGCCTCTTCAACACTTATAAAACTGGTTCCTTGTATTAAACCTTCCCTGCATGAAATACCCGGCATGATTCTGTTTCCTGACTGGACACTGAGTAGGACCCTGGGATGAAGGAGTGTGGGGAGGACCCTGGGGGCAGGAAGGAGAGTGAGGAAGGCAAGCTCCTGTCTCTGGCAACTCGGTGGCTTCCAGGACCTGCTGCAGAAGGAGACATAGCTGGTGTCTCATAGCTCGTCCTCCCTACCTCCCTGTGCTGGGGAGCAGGGAAGGCTGGGCCCTGAAAGAACAAGGCAGCTGGCTGCCTTTTAGTGTCCCAAGAAGCATTTTTCCTTAGAATTGAAGTCCTCTTGCCAGACCTGAGTTGAGTGTGGCAGTTCATCAGGGCTCCAGAGTCTGAGGTTGGAACCTGCTCCATCCACCACTTCCTTATAGCGCTGGGATCCGAGGAGAGCAATTTAACCTCCTCGAGCCTCATTTTTTTTAAAATCTATAAAATGTGACTCATGCCATCTCCCTCACAGGGTTTACTGGGAGGATCAAATGAAACAACATGAAAAGCCCCTGGTATTGGGCCTCACAGAGTGCTTGCAGCTGTGGTTAGGAGCGCTCACAGTCTGAAAGGAGAAAGTCGCCTTTCGTTTGGGCTGGGGACAGATGAACAAGGCCAGAGAGGAATGCCCAGCAGAGAGTTAGGGGGAGTCTACTTCCTGACTGCACGTGTCCCCTCTTATGTGGAAAGTGAGACCAGCCCTGGGGGAAGGGGGCGAGGGCTCCAGTGACGTTCCAGTAGTAATCCAGGGTGGGCTGTAGCCAAATGCCAGCGCCGGTTCACCCAAAACTTTGATTTTCCCATCGCCGAAGGGGTGGGAGATGAAAGTTCCAGAAGGGCACTCAGAGAGGCTATCATGCTGCTTTCCCTCATGCAAAACCGGAGGTAGGACAAGGTCATCTGTACGATCCAGCCCTGCTCTGACGTTCAAGGGTTTCTAGATACATCCCATTCCTTCTCTGCTCTGAGCTAACGATGTTTTTCTCCTACTGCATCTTCTGCCAAGAAATGTTCCAGCTTGGACAACATAGCAAAACCTCATCTCTACAGACAATAAGAAAATTATCAGGGCATGGTGGCGCATGCCTGTAGTCCTAGTTACAATGGAGGCTGAGGCAAGAGGATTACTTGAGCCTGAGAATTGGAGGTTACAGTGAGCTATGATAGAGCCACTGCATTCCATCCTGGGCAAACTCCAGGACGAGACCTTTCCTTAAAAAACAAAGAGAAAAGAAAAATTGAAAAAGCTTGGACCAAATGACATACATTTAACATAAGTTGTGACTGTTAAGAAAAGTTTTGGAGGAGGCTTTTGAAGCTCACGTCTCCTGTGAGACTAGGTGGCTTTTTCCCATGCGTGTATGGGACCTCTTAGACAGCTGTTTTATTTTTCTAGTTGAGAAAAGGGGTGGGGGAAGAGAGATGGTATGGATCCAAAGAGCCATATTTTCAGTCTGAGAAAAGGTCTCACTTCAGTATGCCAAAGTTGTCCCCTTTCATCTTTGCCATCTTGGGGGTAAGAGTTTGTCCTTGAAGGATGGAACGATGAGTTATCTCCAGGACTGAAAGCTAGTTCATTAACCTTGGTCTGCTTAAAGGCTCAAAGCGACTGACCAAGCCATGTGTTCTAAACAGGAGTGGGTAGATTGATTCTACAAAGCAGCATAAGCTGCAATTTATATAAACTCCACAATCCCTTATTCACACCCCCTAATTCAAATGTTTTCCAACTTTGCAGCAACCTCATTTGTGGCAAAACTTGACCTGAACTGATATACAGCAGTTGATAAACTTTACCATATTGAGTGTGAAAACTCATGCATTTCACTCTAAAATAGAAATGTGTTTGATCAAGAGGTGCTGGGGAGGGTAGGTGAGTTATGGTATATGCACCATATGTTACTTTCCTAAAAATGTGAACAATTCTGAATTCTAAAGCATATCTGGTGCTAAGGTTTTGGATAAGGCATTGTTTCCTTTTGACTAAAATTATTATTGCAAAATTGCATCTAAACTTGATACCTTGTGTATCTTTAGAAGTATCTAGTTGTACGTTGAAATGTTCATTCATTCATTTGTGCTAAAGGCATGTTTGGAGTCCCTGCTGGGTGCCAGGCATTCATGCCATACATACAAGGGATGAACACCAGGCACATTTCCTGTACTTGAGGAGCTTAATGATGGATGGGTGAAATCAGTGCATCAGTAGATAACTATAGTCCTGGAGAGAAGATACTACAAAGGTGTTGTTCTCCTAGAGGGAAAACATTTCTAACTGTGTTTGAGGAAGGAGGTGATCTTAAGGTGAAACCTAAAAGATGAGGAAGCATTTTCAAGGCAAGTAATTGGACTAAGGGCATCCCAGTGGGAAGGAAGAGCCGTGTGCATTCCCTTAACATAGCTCTGGGTTCTGAAATTAGACTCTCTGGGTTTGAATCCCAGGTCTGCTGTCCACTAGCTATGTGACTTTAGGCAAATTATTTAATCTTTTTTTATTTCTGCATATTATGGCAGTACAAATGTTTAGGTTATGTACATTGCCCTTGGCTCCCCCTGCCAGTCAGAGCTTCAAGCCTGTCCATCCCCCAGACGGTGCACATCTCATTCATTGTGTATGAATTTACCCATCCCCTCCTCCCTCTCCCATCTGCCCGACGCACGATGAATGTTATTCCTATATGTGCACTTAGGTGTTGATCAGTGAAACCAATCTGCTGGTGAGTACAGGTGATGCTTATTTTTCCATTCTTGGGATACTTCCCTTAGTAGAATAGGTTCCAGCTCTATCTGGAAAAATACAAGAGGTGCTATATTTTTGTACCTCAGTTTCCTCATTTGTAAAATAGGACCAATATCATTCTCTGTCACTGAGGTATGATAAGTTCTCAAAAATCATGCTGTTATTGTTACTATGTGCAATGGAAACAGTTATTTCAAGGATGGTTGGGCAACAGGAGTCAGGTGTCTGTTCTTATCACAGTTTCATTTCTAGAGACAACCCGACCCCAATCCAAGGACCCTGTCAGATGTTCAGGTTTCTGGCCACACAACGTCCTATCCGATTGTCATGCAGGCTGGTATCGGCTGCATGCCATGGCTCCATTGTAGATGCCAGATGTCGGGCTAGCAGGCTTGATCCAGTGAGCAATTGTAATTGCAGCTGAATGTTATTAATTACATGATATTGAGCTATTCAAGTTTAATATCCCCAAAATGATTCCTGAAACTGGGACATTATGACAAAAGGAAACATAATGAGAATGAATTGTCATGTGTACCTGCCCCACACTGGAGTCCCTGGTGGCACTGGAGGGCGGGGCGTGGGCTGGCTGTGTGTGGATGCAGATGTGTTCTGCGGGTCTGTGTAGGACGAAGTGAGAGCAGGGAAACCATGAGGGCACACCCTGACCTGTAGCCATGGCTCACCTCCCTGGTGGGGACAGGACGGACATGGTGGAAGGAGTAGGGCGTGGGGAAGGAAGAGCAAGTGGAAAGGGAAAACAAAGTAGTGTTGAAGATAATGAGTGAGATGTGCAACGTTTGGGGGACGGTCACGGTTGAAGCTCTGACTCGAGGCGGGAGGGGGGCATGGGCAAGACACGTAACCCTAACATTTGTACCCCCATAATATGCTGAAATAAAAAAAAAAGAAAAAAAAAGAAAGTAGTGTTGAATGAAAAACTCAATTAACGTAGGATATAAATATATAGTTAGTGTGTATTTCTGTGAAATAATATGTGTTTATGCAGATAGACATTAATATAAAAGAGTAGATTTGTAAACGAAGGAACCCTCCTGACCTGCCATTGTAATAAATTGTGACAAAGATAAACAACGTGCTGCACTGTGCATCTGACCAACACAAAACAACAAAAAACTTGATTACCCCCTGGGAGTAGCCTGATAGTCTACACATTTGTTTCTTCCTGGTAAAGTAGTGCTTTTCCTTTATTTCTTCCCTGCGCTCCTACTACTGAGAAATGATACCCCTGCTCTGCAACAGCTGAGCTTACTGGCGGTGGGAGAGTCCGGGAGAGCAGGGAGTGGGAGCACCGGGACTGACGGTGGGCCGGGAGCAGGAACACCTCCCCGGGGTGGGGACCCTGAAATGAATGTTGAAATCTGTAAACCAAACAGGCTGGGGGCATGGCGAGACAAAGAGCAGGAAAGGGATTCCTCTAGGAGGGATCTTATCATAGGGCTGTGCGACAGAAGACACTTGTCTCTACCACCTGCTGACTTTGTGCTGGTGGGCCAGGCATGTAAAACCCACTTGTTCACCTAAAGAGCGGGGATAAGAGTCGAGGGGTCAATGGGAACCCGAATGCTGGGTTCGAAGATCGGATTTGTCCATTACCAGCTCTGTGACCTTGGGCAAATGGCTTTCTCTCTTTAAAGAAAAGATAGTAATGGTGCTTACCTTTTAGGGTGGCATTTACAACAGTTCTTGGTGCATAGACAACACCAGATAATGTTTAGTTATCATTTTTAGTACTGAACCACAGATCATTTTGAAGAATAAATGAGACTACATTTATATGTGCTTTGTAAATCATAAAGCACTCAACAAATTGTGACCTGGTGTCAACAATGCTCGAAACACAGTGATTTTTAGAATGAAGAAAAATACAACGTTTTCGTTTTTTCATAAAAGAATAATAATCTATCCTTTTAAATTGGACCAAGAAAATCCCTGACCACAGATGCTTTTGAATTCCGCTTTTCAGAGGTGGTTCGATGGAAGTGTTGTCCCTTTGGCGCTGCTGGGTCCTGCTGGTCCACATCTGACACAGAAACTACAGTGATGCATTCAGCAAGGAGAGAGTGGGGTCTCGATTCAGTGGCAGCCAGGCATGAGGACGTGACAGGGGCGTGGGGAGCTGGCTGCACCTCAGCCTTCCAGCATCTTCTTTCCTGTCTGATATTTCCCCTCTACTCCCCGCAGCCTGATGCTGTCTGCATTCACCCCATTCATAGAAAGGGGTGTCGATACTGTTTCTGGGACCCAGGCCAGCGTTTCGCACAGCTGGCTTGCAGAGGCTCATGCCGGCAGATAAAGCAGCAAGAGTGTTTAACTCTTTAACTCTTGAATCTCTAAGAGGCTCTGAAGGTGGGTCTGAATCACAGCCTCCTCCTCTCTCTGGATATTTTCACAGCAGACCAGAGACGTTCAGTGTGATTAGCTCTCATGAAGCTCATGAGATGAAAGGAGATGGGACATAGGAAATGTGGCTCTATTAGGGGTTGAATTGTGTTCATCAGAAAGACATGTGGAAGTCCTAACCCCTGTGAATGTGAATGTGACCCTATTTGGAAATAGGATCTTTGCAAATGCAATCAAGTTAAGATGAGGCCATTAGGGTGGGCCCTAATCCAATATGACTGGTGTCCTTATAACAAGAAAAGACAGGTACTCAGGGAAGATGGCCATATGTGAAGAGGGAGTGACACAGCTGCGAGGCAAGGGGTGCCAAGGACAGACAGCCACCATTGGAAGCTCTGAAGAGATGAGGAAAGATTCTACCTAAGGTCTCAGAAGGAACTTGGCCCTGCTGACACCTTGATTTCAGACTTCTGGCCCCCAGAACTGAGGGAGAATGCATTTCTGTTGTTCCAAGCCACCTAGTTGGTGGCATTTTATTACAGCAGCCACAGGAAACTAGAGTAGCCCCTCAGTCCAGGTGTGCAGCCCAACTCTGACCTCAGGCATTCCCAGGTCTAAGAGCCAGGCTGGACTAGCGTAGACTAAAGTTATTGGAGCTCTTGTGGGACAGGAAGAGTAAAAGACAGAGGGCCAGGGCGGGTGGTGTGGTTAAATGAATGTCTCACAGCTAAGGAATATTCTTTTGAGTCTTTAAAGCATGATCAGTACATGCAGCATTCGTGGTCTTGCACCTGAACTAGAAGGTGAGTGCTGGAGGGACACAGACAACCAGGAGTCTAGGTGTATGGTCCAATTGCCTAAGGATCCCCTAACAGAGAATGTTCAGGAAAACACAGTGCTCTCTCATTAGTTCTGGAGCCAAGGATATGGATTTGTAAAAGTTCCCAGATGATTCTGAGGTGTAGCCAGAATTTAGTTTATGCTTTAATTTTAGATATGGGGAAACTGAGGCTCAGAGACATTAAGTGGCCCAGGTTCTCAAAGTCAGCTCAAGAAGCATCATTGCAAAGGAGTCAAGAATACTCATGTTCCCAAAGAACACATGAGGTCAAATACACCTGGGGCTGCATGTTGGTTCTCAGTGGCCTGGGGGAAGTTGCTTCTTTAAGGATCTGTGTTCTTCCTGTGAAATGGGAATAATGACCATCCCTACTGTGTTTCCCTGAAAATAAGACCTACCCATAAAATAAGCCCTACCAGGATTTCCAAGCATTTGTGCAATATAAGCCCTACCCTGAAAATAAGACCAAGTGATGGGCGTGGCTACGCAGCGTGTCTGCACAACCCGTGCATTTCGTCTCGGAGCGGGGAAAGAAGACGAGCAGCCCTTCTCATCTGCCCCACGAGAGCTCCATTGCTCGACATGAGAGACTGGGGCCAATGGTTCTAAAGGAAATAGAGTCACAAGAAATTCAGGATGGAATTCGGGGTTTGCAGAGTTATGATGATGTTCCAGAGGAAGACGACTTAACTATATTTGAATAAATGTAGATTGTTGTACTGTACTTAAAAAAAAAACCAACACATCTCCTGAAAATAAGCCCTCGGGTGTCTTCTTGAGGAAAAATAAATATAAGACCTTGTCTTATTTTTGGGGAAACACGATACCTCATACAGTTGTGAGAAGCAAGTGAGGAAATGTATTGAAAGGTCAGCACCTGGCACCTAGAACAGCGCCATGTGAACCAGTAGCGCAAAGTCAGCAGGTGGTCACCTTGAATGTCAACCTTGAAGTAGCTGAGGGAGGTAAACTACGTTTGTGCCCTGATCAGTCCCCCAAGCATGTTCCACCTTAAGTTAAATCAGCCATTACTATTACTATGCTATTAACTACTATGACATCTGCATACCAGATCAAAGTGGGCTAAGTTAGGATTAGAACTCAAGACTTGAAATCGTCCTCTGTATCAGCTATTTTAAGCATAAAAGCCATTTTCAGTAATGTTTGGTCGTGAAAAAACACAACCAAAAAAAACCCAAAAACGGTCCCTTGCACCAAGATCAAGGAATCTCCATGCATCATCCCCAACCTGGCAGCGAGACAGGCTGCGCATGCGCAGAGAGCCCTCCCAGGCAGGCGCGTCTACCTGGACCTACATATAGCTTGGGAGCAAAAACTGTACATAATGCCAAGAGATCTTCAGAGATAATTTATCTCTGCTTTCGTACGAGTCATTGTTTTGAGCAAGAGCACGTCCAACCCTTCGGGAAATGCCTTTCAAGTGTGACGATCACTTTAGTCATTGAAACGAGACCAGCAAAGACGATTATCACAACGCTGTGCACGGAAGGTAAAACGTATACTACCGTTTAATTTTCTGACAGATCTTGGCCAAAAGGGAGTGACACAAATGCACAAGCCACTTCTAGAATTCGGGCAGGGAAAAAGACATCTCAAAGAGGATTATTAAGGAGTAGTTACCCACCTTTCGGCCCCTCTGAGCCTAGATTCTGACCTCCCTCTTCTAGACATGCAGCCCCGTTTTCCTGACCTAAATCACTCTTGCCCCTGTCCCAACTCCATACCTATCAACTATCGCCGACCCCTAACGCTTGCTCATGCTGCTCCCTTGCCGGGGGCCCCCAAACCCTTCAACTCCGACTGGCGTCATCCCACATCTGGCACCCGCTCCTCCCACTTGGTCGGTCTATCTGTTCAATACATCTCCTCTACCAAGACTGTTGAATAAAAACCAATTTCAAATAAAATAATTCCATCTTACTGTGGAACAATAGTACGTAAAGGGAAGGACGGCCTTCCCAGGGAACAGAGAGCGTGCAGCTCCATGAGCATGGGATTTTAGATGCGGCTTTCCAGGAGTCTAAGAGAGGGATATATATTAGATAAAAGCGGACACTTTACAACTGTGGCTTTAGAAGATTGTTGTTTCATGTGCCCCCTCAATGAGAAAGAAACACAGGGGAAGACATTTATCACAAGGGAAGAACAGGGATCTGCTGGCACGGGGAGTCCTTCTGATGGTTATGCAGGGTTTCATGGGCACTGGCGATATTTTGACCTGGCAAAGGATAACCAGAAACCTTTTCAGAATATGAACGAAGTATTCAAGGATCTTTGAGATGCCTGCCTGGCTTTCTAGGAGGAGAGGAACATCTTGACCAATGCCCCTCTCTACATGAGACCTGCAGACCAAGAGGCTGTCCTTGTCCTCAGCTCTCCATGGAGTGCTGGCTATGGATGTATATACCAGCTCTGGGAACACCCTGTGGGGTCTGCTGGGGTTGAGGGATTAGCAGGGCTCTCTATGACCCAGAAGTCAGGCAGGAGGGAGGCAGGTGGGAAGGAAGAGACAGATGCTCTGAGACTTTGTGACTCAAAGTGCAGTCCACAGCCTTGCTAGAGATGAAAATTCTTGGACCCCCCCAGATCTGCTGAATCAAATCCTTGGGAAGGTCTTGGCACTCTGTTTTCTTAGCCCTCCAAGTCATTCCAATGCCCACTAGGGCTTGAGAACCACTGGCCTAGGTCCTAGCCACTCAAGGTGTGATGGCAAAGTCTCAGCCACCCTGCCAGACATACAGAATCAGAATCTGCACTTTAACAAGGCCCCCAGGGTGCACAGTGAAGCTGCATAAGCCTGGCTCCAGGCAGAGGGAGCATCCCAGCAGTCCTATGGAGGTATGAGAAAGTCTGGTGTGTTCTGGGAATGCCAAACATTTTGGCCCGGCTGGAGCATCGTAAACCACAGAATGCGGTGACCCATGGAAGGAAGGAGACATTATGACAAGCCTGGGATGCAGCACTACGTGTTACCCTGAGGACTGTGGGCAATCTCTGAAGGTGTCAGGCAGAGGAGCTACGCTGGTATTTCAGAAAGCCATGGCTAGGGTGGGGCGATGGCCCAGAGGAGGCGAGAGGGGGCAGAGAGGCCCATCAGAGATAAGGGACCCTGAGGCCTGATCCCAGGGTCTGGAACCTCATCTCTATTGCCATTTGGGGCTGATACTAATTCTGTCTTTGCTGTGCATCTGTCCTGTGCATTGTGAGATGCTCAACAGCATCTCCAGCTTCTGCCCACCAGATGCCAGCAGCGCAAATCTGTCTCCAGACATCTCCAGACCTGGGGGGGGAGGTGACACACAAGTGCCACTGGCTAGGAGCCACTGATGTAAAAGGGGCAGGGAGGGCAGTGGTGCAAAGGAGGGGTGCTTAGAAGATTTAATTCAGAGACGTAGTAGCTGATTAAGATCAGAATTGTAGCCACACTGTAAAACAAACACCAGCAGGAGAACAACATTGGTGGCAACTTTGGAAGTACAGACACATCCTGGGACCTAGAGTTCAAAATCTGGCTGCATTTGAATATTTGAGCTACTTGTTTTAATATTTATTTTAGTCTGAAGGCCTTGGTCTCATCATCCTAATGACAATGTTGATTTTTAACACTCCTGATAACCAATATATTAAAAAAATTTATAAGGACAGCCTTATAATCACTATAAAAAAGGTGCAATACAATAAAATTTTATAATGACACAGCTGTTTAGTGTCAAAATTCAGCTGGATGGCTGCAGCTGTCTTTGACATTCATTGCACAGAAACTGGGGTTAGGAAGCGGGTGACGGATGATGTCCCAGGGACCTCCCCTCCCCCAGAACTCCTCCTGTTTAGATAGAGGTTTTGATTATTTGGTCTTTTCATCACATAGTGAGGGAAAGCCCACCGTCCTCTTACAATTTGCTTGCAAAGAGAACAGAGATGGGCCCAGAGCAGCATTGCAATAAGCAGTCCTTGCCTGTGTATTTGCCAGCCTCTTCCTTCTCATTGGAACTCTGCTAGATAGAGACAAAATGTGGGCTGTTATTAACACAGCAATGGATTTAAAATATAGCATCTGGCTGCATCTAATCCCACCTAAAATGAAAGTCTCGAATCTGGGCTGTCACTGGGGACAGGAGTTATGCGGCATCTTCACTTTGCGATCGATTTAACCAGCCTCCTGAGCTTCCCCACACACCAGGATATTAAATGAATGCAGAACAACAAACAGGGGTTGAATAAAGAAAAATAGGGTGAATGGGGTAAATGGAAGGCCATGGGGGAGCATAATCACTCTTCTGTATGGAGCCAAGCTAAAACTGAATTTCTACATAGTGAAGTAGTTTTCGACACTCGTTGTGTGTTATAATACCAGGGTTTAAACTGGTCTGAGGTGGGGCATGGACATTAGCAATTTTTAAAGGCTTTTCAGATGATACTGTTGAGCAGGGGAGTTTGTGATCAGGGCTGTCATGCATAGCTGCACAGCTTGTCCACTGTAGGATTCCATTATCCACATAGCCTGTGATGTGAAGGGTGCTCCCTGAAGTTTAGCACTGATGAGGACTTGTTGAGAACGACCAGTATAATAGAAAGGGTATTGAACTTGGGAATAGCTAGCTCTGGATTTAAATGATGGGTTTCTCCCTTACTAGCTACGTGAAATGAGCAAATTACTTAACCTACCTGAGACTCAGTCCTCTCTCATCTGCGAAATGGAATTGGTAACAGAAATACTCTACTTTGGAGAGGTGAGAATTAAGTAAGGTGATTGAGAGACTCAGGTGCCTTTAGATGCTCCATGTCCCGCCAAATTCATGAAAAGTTCCCTCTGGGAGCTTTCTGGGGCTTCATTGAGATCCTGACTTTCTCTGGAACATTTGATTTCCTTCAACAGTGTATAACTTCTCCTGTCTGGATTCTCAGCCTGACAGGCTGGGACGAAATGACACGCGACCTACTGTGTGCTGCTTTCCGTGTCCTGGCTGGGTCTGCAGTTACAGCGGTGCGCCCCATCGCGGTGCGCCCCATCGCGGTGCGCCCCATCGCGGTGCGCCCCATCGCGGTGCGCCCCATCGCGGTGCGCCCCATCGCGGTCTATTCTGAGCAGTTTTTCAGAGACACTTATTTGCATTTTCTGATTATTTTTTCCGTGATAGCTTTCATCTGGAGAGTAAATAAATTGGTGGAGGTTTCTGAGGAGTTTTTTAGTTGTTGAATTGTTCTGTAGAATTTTTTTTGGCTTCTTGCAAGTAATTATTGGAATTCTGCCCCATGAATTATGCTTGCAATTCTGGTGACAGAAATAAAAAACTGTAAAATCCTAATTAGCCTTTGAGTTAACGCCAAGGCAGTTTGTGCTAGTGAAGTAAACAATGCCCCGAGAATAAGTTTTTAGATGTGTGCTGAGAGGAATAAAAGATGAATTCTATTATTCTCCGTTTCTGCTCAGGGTTCTGAAGGCAGTGGTCAAGGGCTTCCTGCAGTGCTTCCATATCTCGTTCAACAACTTAAGCAAATTAGCTAAACTGGCTACTATCGGCCCTTAATTATTCACTGCATTAAATAATGATTGGCGGTGCAGACGTGGTGATTGATAAATCACTTATGTGGAAATGCCTGCATATTGCCATTTAACACACAGCAGCCTGGGCCCTCAAGCCCCATACGCCCACCAAGACTAGGGTTACCAGATAAAATATTGCATTAGACACACTTATACTAAGACATTAGTCATTGTTTATCTGAAGTTCAAATTTAACTGGGCATCCTATTTTTCACTTGCTAAATCTGGCTAGCTTGGCCATGAGGGATTTCCTCCTCCTTTATTTCCATGTTGCCAAATCAATAATACCTTACATGCATTGCATCAAGGTGAGTGAGGAGCTGGCCAGCAGGGAGAAGCCGAGGACAAGGTCTTTGCCCTCCCGTTGCTGATGGATGCTCCCTTACTGCCAGCATCTTTGGCATCCAGGATGATGCTGTCCTTAAAGATCTACTTTTCTGCTTCCTTTTCTACTGGGGGTGATTTGCAACCAGGACCCAAGTTAAATGCTTAACTTCACGAGAACTTATTTTAACGAAACATCCTTTCTGTTGAATGAGAGTGTTATTAGAAAGATGACAAATATGGGGAAATGAATAATAATTGTGATGACTTTAGCATTTATGGAGTATTTGGTAAGTCCTAGGCAAGATACCAGGTGCTTCACACACATCAACTCTATTAGTCCTCATATCGCAGGACACTGTTAACGACCTTATCTTACAGACAAGAAAATTGAGGCTCAGAGAAGTTGAGCACCTTGCTTAAGTTCACCTTTTTAGAAAGTGGAGGAGCAGGAGGATACAGCCTCCTCCAAAATGGTCTAATGGAGAGCAGAAGTTGTCAACTAGGGGTGATTTTGTTCTCTAGGGGACATTGGGCATTTTGGGTTGTCATGACTGGGAAGGGGTGGAAGGTGCTACTGGCATCTAGTTTGTAGAGGCCAGGGATGCTGCTAAGCACCCCACAAAGCACAGGAAAGTCCCCATAACAGAGGTTACCCAGCCTCAAAGTTAGTAGTATAGAGGTTATAAGAGAGAAGCCAAGAAATAAGGTAGGAAGGGGCTCATGTTCCTATCAGTACTTTAATCCCAGTGCAACTATGGCTGGTTGCAGGCTTGGATCTGGAGTAGCTCTTGCCTTTGGGGGGTGAGAGCAGGGCCAGTGGGAGATGAACATGCCAAGGAAAAGGCTCATTCCTTACCAGAGTCGGGGATTTCTTGACAATATGTCTTGCCTTCTCTAGTGTGAATTTCCATGCCTCCTGTAAAAGCAAAGTTAGACAACATTACAACTTATGTCTCATCTTTTCATTCTAGATCTTTTGTAAAGTTAGTATTTTTAAAGTCTACATGTTTTCAATAAATGCATTAGTCCACAAATTTGTGATAAAGTAATTCACAAGAAAGCAATTTCATGTGAACAACTACCTGTGTTAAGGACTTTGCTCTGTCAGAGGCTGTGCTAAGTACTTTGTGAATGTTATCTTACTCTTCACAACAGCCCCGAGAGATAAGACCATTTTACACACAAGGAGATTGAGATGCAGAAAAGCTAAGAAACTGGCCCAAGATCTCATAACTAGCAGAAACGCAATCTGAACCTCTGCTTCCTGACTGCTATGCTACGCTGATCTCCTCCATAAATAACTTGTCCTTGTGTCTAAAAGCCCCACTAGCAACTAGGAAGCTATCAACAGCCAACATGAGTGCAACAGTGAAGAACGGCTGATCTCTGCCCTGCAGGCTAACCCCAGCTCTCAGTCACCTCCTCTTCCCCTGGTTGGAGATCCCCATCCTCTTTCAACCATTTCTATAACATCTAAATGCATCTTTCAAGTACACACACATTGCAAATACAAAGAGTTAGCTCATTATTAACAATTTCTGTGAATCTTCAAGACCACTGTGTTTTTGTATTTGGTTGTGTGTGTGTGTGGGGGGGGAGGCTGGGAGAAGATTAATCCTGGGGTGAGTGAGGGCAGTTTGCTTTCAGCACTGCTTCCTGGAGCTTTTACCCCCAACTCAATGCACATAATCCTGGCCCCCATGTCCCTTACCATCCTGCTGCCTGTATAGCCCCCAAATCACCTCTCTTCAATGACTGATAGGTTTAATAGAAAGCTCTGTCTTTTCTACCCACTTCCCACTTACCCAAATTAGTAGGGAAGCTGGGATTTAAGGAAAGTGCTGTAGTTCTCACTCCAGGTGACTACAGATGTTGTCCCTGCATTTAGGCAGTAAAAATGGATACTAGAATGGGTTTTTGAGATGGCTGATCAGCAAGAGAAGGCCTTCCGGGAGATACTGGCCAATGCTGCTAATGGGTGTTCAGGACTCAGGTCCGTATTTAACGCCTTTGCCCATTCTTCCCCTATGAGCCCCATCTCTCCACTCTGGAGCTACGTGGCCATAGCGAGTGAACACGTGAGGCCAAGTGGGGACTAAGGGAAGGGACCCTAGGATAGAATTCGCTAGCACCCTCGAGGCTGGGGCAGCAGGAACACGGCCAGGGCAGACAGAGTGGCTGTGTGTGGGGTACATGTCCCAGTGCTGCAGAGATGTGGGGACTTGCCCTAGGACCTGGGTCCACTGCAGCCTGGGCCGCCCACTCACTGCTACCTGGGTGGCAGGGAGATGGATTTGTCCTGCAGCTGCGTTTGCAGGTACTCTATCTAAGACTAAGAAAATGGCAATTGACTTTACCTGACAATAAAGTGAGGATAGAGGGAAGCTCTAGAAGCCACACTTGGCTGCACCCCTGGGCATCACCCCAGGCTTGAGAAGGGCCCCTGCCTGGCAGACTGGAAGCTGCTGCAAAACCATAGACAAGGGCCCTCAAAAAGCTCATGGCCTTGAGGGGTGGGCAGAATGGATGGGTCCATCAGCCACTTCAGGTTCAGAATAGCTGTGCATAGGAGCTGGGGGGCACAGGTCCATAGGAAGACTGCTTCTATCACACTGAGGGGTTGGGGGAAATTTTCAGAGGACCTGCAGCTTGAGCCAAGCTCACATTCAAATCTCTCATGGCCCCTAGAAAGTACACATCCTCCCTACTCTATAGCAGGGTCCACTCAGAGGCTCCACTCCCCTAAATACATAGCTATGGAGAAGTCTACTCAGAAGGCAGCCCCAGAGCTTTCATCTTCTAAGCCTGTGCATAGTTTTCTCTTTCACGGTGCGCTCCAAGATACCAAAAATGGAGTTTCTGGCCTTTGAGCCTGGAATCAGAAAGATTCACCCAGGAACTGCCATTCTAGAAGCCCCCCAGACCCCCACTGGATAATTTTCCAGCTGTAGCACGGCTGTCTTGTTCCTCCAACCACTCTGAGAACTCCTGGGTAGAGGCTTTGGGTTCTGGGCTATAATTTTTGATCGCCCTTAACCTCTTCCACATTGTCAAGCCCAGAGCATGTAGGTAATAAGCACCTGGTCGACTTAAATTCGCAGGACTATTAAAATGAAAATGACTAAATAGAGACTGGGAAAGGGCTGTATTTTTTAGACATTTCCTCATTCCTTTATTCAGTCAAGGTCACTACTTCCAAGGCAGCATGGCGGGCACCAAAGTAGGGAGTGCAGGGGCCGGAGAGTTGCATATGAACAGCTGTTACTGTTCTCACCTATCCCGAGCTTAAAATTTAGCGGGGACCTGCATGCCTGGGAGTATGTTGCAATGTGGAATAAAAAGAAAACAGAGGAAAAGAAAGCTCTGCTAGAAAAGAGGAAAGCCAAGATGGCTTCAGGAGGAAGCAGTCCTTGTGTTGAGTCTTCAAAGGTAAGAATTCCACAAGTAGAAGTGGGTAGAAAGAGAAAGGACATCTTGGGCACAGGGAACATTCAGGCCACAGTGTGTCGGACAAGCCAGATGTTCTGGCTACATACATGAAGAGAAGTCTGGACAAGGGTGTGATGAGCAGAGAGTGAGGTCCTGGATGTCATGACAAAAGTTTACTCTTTATTTCAAAGGTAAATGTTGCCTACTGAGAGTTTTTGAGCAGGGGTGTGCCAGGTTTAGTGACAAACACATGTTAAGAAAATTAAAATTAAAAAAAGATCAAAGCATCGCTTTCTTTTTTGTTGCTGATTCAAAATGCATTAATATTAATACCAATGTACAAAAGAGAATTGAGATAAAAGCCTGAGCTTTTTTTTTCCCCAGAAAAAAATGGATGTAAAAACTCAAAGCTGTTTGGAAAAATTACTTGGTTTGCTTGTCTTAATGACAAGCAAATTGCCAGGAAAAATAAAAATAACTGTTATCTCTCTTTGATAATCTTTAATTGTTGGCAATTTGACGTGTAAGCCTGCATTTATAATGTATGAAGACCACTCTTCTATATTCTGAAAAATTAAGACTTCAGGATGAAGAATGCAATTCTAATGAGCAGTTGGAGAGAAAGTTTGAGAACGGACTGAGAGCTGATTAGAAAACTCTTCTGGTTGGAATCCAGAATGATATTTTACGACCTAGCTAGAGCAATCGTCTGAGGCATAAGCAGTTTCTCCGTCAACAATGAGCGCCTTGGTTCTGGAAGCGTTCATTTGATCCTGCAATTTGTTTTGGTCCAATCTTTTTAGATTCTCATTACATTTTTTTCCTTGGTTATCATGGTTATTCAGTCCATCTTCAAATCCTCTTCAGCCTATTTATTTAATACCCTCCTGAGTGGATTGCTAAGGAAGCTGTCACACAGGCTCAGAGAGACATAAGCCCTGGGAAGGACCATGGGTATGTCTGTTTATTGGATTTCTTTATTCAAGAGCTTGGAAAGTGCTCAAGGACAACATGGCACGCCAGCCCAGTAGCCTGTGAAAGGGGCAAGGATGACCCGTCACTACAGCACACAGTGGCAGGTGGCACAGTGACTCACTGAAACGCATTTGTGTGGAATGATGCCCGTGCCCACCCAAACCAGAGCCAGCCCAGAGTCTTCCAACAAGAGGAAAGGTTTGGTGACTACTGCCTGATGTTATGAGTTGAATTTTGTCCCACCAAAATTTACATGTTAAAGTCCTAACCACCCAGTAGCTCAGAATGTGACTTTATTTGCAGATAGGGTCATGGAAGAGGAAATTAGTTGGGATCAGGTCATACTGCAGCAGGGCAGGCTGCTAATCGAATATGACTAGCGTCCGCATAGATAGACTACCACGCAAAGAGAAAAATTGCATACAGAGGGAAGATGATGTGGAGATTCAGAGAGAATGACGCCAAAGATGCCAGCAAACCATCAGGGCTGAGACCGAAAGGCATGGGGCAGATGTTCTCTCATGGCCCCCGAAGGCTAACCCTGCTAACACCTGGATCTTGGACTTCTATCCCCCACTACCGTGAGACAATAACTTTATGGGTTTTTTAACCCATCCAGATTCATACAGTCTCTCTTGCTCTCAGAGTGACTTTGACTCTTGAGCTAAGAGGAGTTTGGATGATGGAAGAGCAAGAACCAAGTGCTTGGGCAAAGAGGTGCCCTGGTAGATTCTGTGCTCTGCCAACCATCAGCCAAGTGGGAGCCCAAGGAAAAGGAAGAAAGTATAGTAGTCTAATTATCAGTTCAGATGTGGGCAAACTTCCATCTTCAAGAGAAACTCTTTAAATATTGTATTAATCACTAGATCTGGGTCTCCATTGTTATTTGCCATTTAAAATGATTTTGGATCATAGAGTGTTTGTGGGTTTGAATCCTAGCTTCATCTTTTGGCCCTACCAGTTGTAGGGCCTTGGGTCAAGTGATTTAAGCACTCTGATTCTCAGTTTCTGCATCTGTAGAATGGGGATGATAATAGCATAGTTATGAGTAGTGAACAAGATAATACTTAGAATAGTGCCTTGCAGATAATAAGCATGATATTAGTGTAAACAATAATCAGTGTTTTTATTTCGGGTTGTAATGTCACTAATACACAGCAGGAAAAACTCCAACAATTACATCAGCCAACAGAAATGCATGTTGTTTTTCAAGGATCCTGAAAACTATCTGAGGGAAAATCATGGTATTTTCCTCATTTTACAGATGAGAAAACTGAGGCTCATAGAGATGAAACAACTTAACCAGGACCACTCTGCAAGCAGAGCTGGAGTTGGTAATCGAGTTTCTAGACTCTAGCACCTTCACCGCCAGTGAAACACTGTTTTCCAAGGATAAAGTAAGCCTGAAATTTTAACACAAGCAAAAAAACAAGACTTATGAGGTTTCACAAGGGCCTTGAGGAATGACGAGTGTAGCTTCCATGGAAAGGATCTAGATTAACATAAAAAGTC